GACTCTCCAGTAATATAAGGAACTTAATCCACGGATACTTAAGTCTCTTATAGAAAATGTATGGTATCTGCATACATACAGACCCACTTTAAATCCTCCTGTATATTTTAACTTTTATAGAACCTGATACAATATAAGTGTTATATAAATAGCTGTTATATAGTTTAGGGACTAATGATAAGAAAAAAGAGGTCTGTGTATACTCAGCACGGATGCATTTTTTTCTTTCCAAATCTTTTCAGTCTGAGCATATTGACTTCACAATTGTGGAATCCATAGATACGGAGAGCTGGCTACATCTACTAACTCTCAAATCCTATTCCAGTTCCACCAAATCAGAAACTCTGGGAGCAGGGTTTCAACTGAATTTTAACTGACTCTGCAGGTGATTTTAATGAACACCCAAGCGTGAGACAATTTTGCAACATATCATTTCGCTCAATCCGCTCAACAACCCTGGAAGGTAAGTTTTGCCCTTGGTTTATAAACGAGAAAGTCAAGGCTCCCAAATGAAGAAGTAATGACCAAGCTCGCCCAGCTGCTAAGTGGGGTTCAGGATGCTCATCTGAATCTCCTGGGAAGTTTTAGCACAGAGCAAACACACACACACACACAGACACAATTTAATTGTGAAGAATTTCAAACACACAAAAGTGGAGGCAATAACATTGCTCACTTTCAAAAGGTCACCCAAGCCCCACACTGGGCCAGTTAAATCTGAATCTCAAGGGTAGGGCCTGGTGTCCTTTTTTAATAACACCCCAGGTGTTTCAAATGTGTTTGAGCTTTGAGAGACACTGTTTGGTACGTTTCTCCTCCAGATGTCTGCAATGACTCAGTTCTTCAATTCACTTGTATTCCACCCAGATGTTACTCTGGGAGGGGCTTTCCAGACCCCCTTATCTAAAACACATCACAAGGGGGTGTCTAGCCTAGTGAGTAAGATGCCTGCATCCTATATCGGAATACCTAGATTCAGTTCCCAGCTCTGCCTCCTGACTCCAGCTCCCTGCTAAGTGATGGCTCAAATAGTTGGACTCCTGCCACTCTCATGGAAGATCTAGATTGGATTACTGGTTCCCATTTTCAGTCCCAGCCATTGTGGGCATTTAAGGGAGTGAACCAACAGATGGGAGCCATGCCTCCTCCCTCTCAAATAAATAAAATTTTAAAAATTCAAACAGATGTCATCACACCACCCTTGGATACTCTTGCCATGCTATTTCTCTATTCCTTTATTCCACTTTCATAGCATTTTCACTGGACATTTAACACTGTACTGTGGGCTGAATCTCATCAATGACTATGACCGATGCTCAAGAAACTCTGAACAGCAGCTCCAGCCTTCTCATGCAGCCCTTATCCCCACTGTCTGAGAGGGTAGCTGCATGTGGGAGGCAGGGGATAATATGTCCTGCATGAATAAATGAGAGTGGAGCAGGGCTGAGATTGTAATCCAGGACCACCTGATTCCAACCATGTCACATGGCAGCCTCGGACTAGCTTCGGTTGGCCTCCAGAAAAAGAATTTAGTTTTTGCCTTGAAAGAAGATATAAACTTGGCATTGAGTTGATCAAAGTAGATTGGTTCATGCTAGGTATGAGTTATGAGGTCTTAGGTGGCTCACTTTTTATACCCTGATTCTTATTTCCATCAATAAATTAAGATAACAAGCCCATTGCTGCCTATCTGCCAGACATGTTTAAGGATAAATGAAAACTTATATGTGTAGCATTTTGGAAAAATTGTAGCACTGTGAAAAGGTAAGTTATTTCCATTTCAACATGGGGAGGAAAAGAGAAGAAAAGGAAATAGACTAGGCAGAGGAAGAAAAAAAGTCAAAGATGACAGCGTTGTAAAGAATGGCTTCGAGGAAACACTCCAAGTCTAAACTTTGTCGCTCAATAGAAAAAGGAAAATTAAAAATACAGCAAAATTTTGTATGTCAAAAGCACCCATTTGCTTAAGAACAGGATTCAGAATCATTTGTGTACTCAATATTTTATAATTTTAAAATGCTTTATTTGTTACATTTACAACTCTTTTGGGTGCCTCTGAACTCTTTTCAGTCTTTTCCAAATGTAACAATTTTGTTCCAGCATCATGTCAATCATGATCCCAACTTTGGTTTTTTTCCCCATCTTCCTTTCATGACCTATTGAATAAGAGCCCCAGCTCAGACTGGCCACTGCTGATGCTGAATGTGGGAGGCAACGTGTGGAGCAATCAGCTGCCACGTTGGTGCTGCACAGTGACAAGGAAAGCGCAGTCAGAGCCCTCAATGCTTATACCTTTATGACTAAGACCTTCAGGGGCACACTGCACCTGAGAGCCACAGCATTGCACTGGACCCACTGCAGACTCTCCATGTAGGGTTTTATGTGGACCAGTTAATTTAAATGAACTTAATCTTTCATTTGCTTCCATACAAGTAAAAAGATGATAATCATAGTTATTTATCAGAGGCTTGATGTGAGGATAGTAACTGCAAAACATGAGGGCAAGTGTTGCAGCCCATCAGGATAAGCTCCTGCTTAGCTCATGCACATCCCGTATCAGAGTGCTTGGTTCAAGTCCAATCCAGCTTCCTACTCATGCATCCTGGGAGGCAGCAGATAATGGTCCAAGTGCTTGGGCCGCAGCCACCCATGTGGGAGATACTGACTGACTTATAGGCTCCTGACTCCAGCCTAGCCTAGGCCTGACTATTGCAGGCATTGGGGAGTGAACACAAATGGAAGACACATCTCTCTCTCTCTCTCTCTCTCTCTCTCTGATGAAAATAAATAAATAAATGTTTTTAAAATATCTGCAAATTTGGGTTATAAAAAGCATCCAATAAGTGCTACTTAATTCCATGCTTTTTATTATTAATTCTTCAATTAATAGGCCATTGAGGTGACAGTGATAATATCATAGGCTCTCTTTCAGATGCTTGATTGGGCTGCGATGTGTAGGAGAGAGGGGAGGAGAGAAGGGAAAGGCCAAGAGACTGGCTAAGCAATCACTGCAATTCTAGGTGACAGGTGCTGAGAGCGCAAGGCAGCAAAGGTAAAGGAAAGGGAAGGAAATGGGCCAGGTGTCAGACACATCTGAGCAGCTGAATCCACAAAACTCAGCCAATGATGCTTGGTGCGGCTGATAAGAAAAATGGAAGAGACAGAGAGAAGATAACATGTCCATTTGCAGAACCAAGGTGTCCAAGTTACACTGAGAAAGCACCTCTGCCTGTTTTGGATTGTCAGCTTCTTGTTCATCTCGTCACATCCAAAGACCCCGCTGCACAGCAGACATCCAGGGTATGTCGAGTGAGTGACTGCCACGCCTGTGTTTCCACAGGGCACTTGGGAGACACACATCCCTCTGGATGCATTTGAGAACAATTAGGAAAACTCCTGGAAGTTCTTCACATTCCCAAAAATTTTAGGTGAAAATACAAACAAGTGCACCACCAAAATGATAATTATTATTAGGAGATGAATGTCCCTGAAATGGCAGGGACCTAGTGTAGTTTTTATTGTGAATCAGATCAATGGTGCCTACCAAACATAACACCTTTGTACAAGGCAAATATGTAAAGCAAATATGACAGCTCCCCCAACATCCAGTATTCGCTCTGCTCTGACAGAAAGGCCTGCCCTATTAATTCATAAGAATTCAAATTAGCAGGCCCCACTGTCCCTGTAACTGGCGGGGGGGGGGGTGAGTGGACGATCTTCAAAGCAAACACGTATGCATTTCTTCACCATCACCCCCATTGACTTAGAGCAGCATTACTCAACCTCAGCAACAGTGTAATCTGGGAGAGGATAATGCTTCCTGGTGGGTGGCTGTCCTGGGTCCTGCAGAGTTGGAGGCAACTCTGAAAGACTTGCACACACATCTCAGAAACATGAGGCAGAGTTTTTCTTCCTGTGCAACAGATGAACAAATTCTAACTATTGAAAATGCACACCTGCTGTTTGAAAATATAAAAATACGGCACTTGATGAAAACCAAAATGCAATTGCTTTAAAAAGCAACCACGCGGACAACACAACCCATAAGACCACGAGTTCTCCAATCCTTCCTCTGCTACCACTTCTGCGGTGCCCCTTCCCAGAGCCACTTTCCCCCTAGGCATTTTTCTCCCATCAAGGAAACCTGAGGTTGAAACAGGTGAACCTTACGGGTTCTCCCTGCTGAAACACTACAACAATCGGGCTCTATGCCAGGAAACTTTGTTTCATTCTCATTACTTGTGGCTGACTGCTAACCCACTTCCCAATGACCAGCCTCCTGCGACAAGCCTGGGGCAACACTGCCTACCTGCTCGCCTACTCGGCTCTGCTCTGTAGGCCAAGCCCCCTGGGCGTGGGGGGGGGGGGGGGGGAGTTGCTTCACAGTCAGCTCCATTCCTCCTACACCTCGACTTACTCTTTCTGTCTGAACTTTCAGACCCAAGTTATTAAGAGCAATTTAGAAGGAAGAGGTGAAAGCGAAAGGAAGTACTAAAATGACTGAAGGTTACATAAGGTCCTTTCTTGGCAACACTCCCTCCCCTCCTACCCCACACTCCCCACTGCCCCCCCACCCCCAGCTACTCTGCATATCCAGCGCAGGGAAAGTTCTTTCCCACCTGTCTCCAGGCCCTAGGATACTGTCCCTCCCCCGCCCCCATACACCGCTGGCGCCCATTAGAGGGAGGGGATCTACGTCCCTTGCAGACATGTGCATGGCTAGAAATCAGCCCACACGCGTTTTAACCCTGTCATCAGCTTCTAATTGCTTCCCCAGCCGGGCTTGACCCGACACCGAACCCCATGACCTCGCAGCTTCCTAGGATCGTCCCGAGGCAAAGTCACTGCACTCTCTCGGGCAGGGCCCCAGGCGGAGCTCCTCCCGGTGCTGGAGAGGGCCTCGCGGCCGGACCGCTCTGCAGCTGCAGCCCCGCACGCTCGGCGAGGAGTCTGGCCCCGGCGCACCAGCCCCTGCGGTCCTCCAGCGGGCCAGCCGCTACCTGGTCCAACAGCCGGTAGATGCTGATGCCCAAGGTCTCCACCAGCAGCTGCCAGTCGGCCCCCGCCAGCGCCGGCTGCTGAAGCTCAGCGCAGGCCTCCCGGAATTGCTCCTCTGTGAAGCCACTCGCCGCCGGCTTCATCCTGCCGCAGCCTGGGCCGTTCCGCTCGGACTGCGGCGGCTACAGGCTTGGTGTGGGCTCGGGGGCGGGGCGATAGGGAGGTCCCCATGTGATTGGCAGGGAACAAGAGAGAAGGTGGGACTTACGTAGTATGAAAGTGGTCTAGGGGGCGGGGCCATGGGTGGGCCTTAAAGTGGGCGGAGCTGAACACAAGACAGGAGATGGAAAAAAGATAAGTATCTAGAGAAACATAGGACTTGATTTGGGAAAAAATAAAGAGAGGTTGGAGAAGTGGGGAGACTTCTACAGGGAAGGGGGAAAAGAAGAGGAAGACACTGATATCACCTTATCAGCATCCCCCCATTCTCCTCCCTCTCCCACCTCCCCCAAACTTTCATGGGGGCGTCTTCACCTCTCTGAAGAAAGGAGAAGGGAGGGATGGATAATTCAGAAATACTTGACAATCTCAGGGGTCAGGTGCTAGGACCGTATGTCAATGTAACTCCTGTTCTTTCATTCGTGCATTTAAAAACCATATTCAAAGAAGGGGTCCAGGGAATTCACCAAAAAGCCAGAGGGGGTCCATGGCACAGAAACGGTTAAGAAATTTATTGCATAACGGATCTATAAAGTTATTTCCCACCCTGGAGGGCAGGCAATGACCTGGCAGGCGTCCTGCTACCCACCCAGGATTTCTGTTGCTTGCATGATTTAGATGCCTGTGCAGATCAAAACTTTATGCAAATCAAAGATCCCTTTGTTCCTTATTTCCCACTAGCAGACCACACCTGACCCTGAATAAAGTAGGTAGTTTCAACATCTAAATGATGTAACAGCCACTGGGTGCCAATAAACTCTGGAAACCCATGATTCCTGATCTGTAAAATGGGTTAAAAATAATGCTACCAGTTACAGTTGAGAAGGTGGTTGGACATAGCATATGTTTGCACTGTGCCTATCAAAGTAAATGTTCCATAAAAATGTTCACTTTATTTACATTATGACATTGAGCTATTTCCTTAGGTACTTCAGATAAAGTTGATGGCAAATTCTGCATTGATGCCAAGAAGGGAAGCAAGATTAAATTTGGCAAGTTGCTTAGATACAGTAGAGATAAGTTACTGCTTTATTCAATTCAGTTCTGGTTCTGTGTTGTTTTATGGGAGTGAAAGAAGGAAAGATTAGAAACATACATTTCTACTATTTTTTATAATGCCTTGTCTATTTAAAATAAAGTTCTTCATTGCTTAAGAAAAGCAATGGCATAAAAAACTATTGACTATGAAGTATTTTCGCCTGTCTTTAAGTAATCCATTATCAAGGTGTGCTTTAAGCAAGCGGTACTGTTTTCACTATGTAGCAAGATTAATGAAGACATACATGAGAGCATAAATGGCATAATACAAGACATACGATATGTAGGTAAAACTAAAATTCTAATTATCATGCATCTTTTAAAAATATATTACTCACAAAACTCAAGAGGAAAAAACACTATCCAGATGCCTTTGGATATGTTGATTTACACTCATGCTTATTCTACAACAATTAGTAAAAGATAAAATGATGTCAGAAAATAGTTTTATTTTGTGTAGTCTCAAAGGTCTAGAAAGGGCTTAGAAAAGGGTTTGGAAAGCCTTTCTTGGGTATCCATTTCCTTTGTGAGAAGATCTCTCTGGAGGAACTTCTGGATTTGTGTCGGTGGAAACTCTTGACCTCAAGCACAGAACACCTGATTAGTTGGACATGAAGAAAGAATGCACCAGATCTGAGACAGAGGAGAGTGAAAGTCATGACCGAAGCGCCCCTCACCCCTCCATCTCACCTCCTGCCCCTGTTGCTCTGGGGAGGAATTTCCACTAAAGACGTGCTTTTGGCCTCACCAGATGACTGAACTCCTCAGGAGATGCCGCTTTACATCTGAGTGCTGCGTTTAGGGGACAGGACTGTGGGCATGTGCGGAGCAACCCCTGGGGCTCCTTCTGGCCCTTGACTGCTTGTAGAAAACAGGCATCCTCATTTGTCTTAGGTTACATAGGAAACTCAAGGGAGTGGCATCTGCTGCTAGAATCTAGGTAGGCAAAATGTTGCGATTCTCTTGTTGCCAAAGACTCAAGCCCTGTTCTCCAAGTGGCTTTACTGTAATAAAGGTGAGATGCCAACTCACCCCTGACTGTAGCATCTATCTCTAAACTGATTCAGAAGGCAGATTTGGACCAAAGACCCTCCATAAAGTCTGGATCCTCTAAGAATTTCCTGAGCCACTCAAAAAAACCAGAAAAGTCCCATCCTCTAGACTATGGGACCCTTAAGGAAGCTCATGCTCTTCCTAGAGGCTTTGGTGAGAAGAAATATGAAGGTACTGAGAGAAACCAAACCCTAAGCCTATGCCAGAGATGGGATTCAGAGTTATATCACCTGCACTGTATGGAAGCCACAAGATAGATAACATAAAATCTGGTTCATGACCATTGAAATCCCTGGGATCTTGCAAAAATCAAAACCAGGGACATGGGGCTGGCGCTGTGGTATAGCAGGTGAAGCCGCCACCTGCAGTGCTGGCATCTCAAATAGGCGCAAGACCGAGATCCAGCTGCTTCACTTCCCATCCAGCTCTCTGCTATGGCCTGGGAAAGCAGTAGAAGATGGCCCAAGTCCTTGGGCCCCTGCACCCGCATGGGAGACCTGGAAGAAGCTCCTGGATCCTGGCTTCAGATCGGCACAGCTCTGGCTTTTGCGGCTATCTGGGGAGTGAGCAGCAGATGGAAGACTCTCTCTCTCTACTCTGCCTTTCAAATAAATAAACAAATCTTAAAAAAAAAAAAAAAAAGCAAACAGGGACATTTTCACAATGAGGAAACATGGAATAACTATAGAGAAGATAGTACATGCATGGACAAGGAAAAAATGAGTTACAAACACCCAAGGAAACAGTTCTCCAGAAGAGCACAAGCAGATATACAAGCAAAATAGTAAGATAGCCAGAAGCAAAGAACTACAAATAGCAGACCAATATGAAACTGATTTTTTAATATATAATTGAAATAAATATAAAAATACAAATAAATAAAAAAGTACCAGAAAATAAGAGAACAGAACATTAAAGAAAAGATGAATGAATTTGAAAAAGAACCAACTAGTGTTTCAACAATTGGAAAATATTGTCATTACAATTAAAAACTTAAAACAGAGATAAATAGTGGCCTTGCCCCAGTTCAAGAAAGGCAAGGACATAAGAAGATGTCTATGAACCGCCGGCTCTGCAGCTCAATAGGCTAATCCTCCGCCTGCGGCGCCGGCACACCTGGTTCTAGTCCCGGTTGGGGCGCCGGATTCTGTCCCGGTTGCCCCTCTTCCAGGCCAGCCCTCTGCTGTGGCCAGGGAGTGCAGTGGAGGATGGCCCAGGTGCTTGGGCCCTGCACCCCATGGGAGACCAGGAAAAGCACCTGGCTCCTGGCTCCTGCCATCGGATCAGCGCTGTGCGCCGGCCGCAGGGCGCCGGCCGCGGCGGCCATTGGAGGGTGAACCAACGGCAAAGGAAGACCTTTCTCTCTCTCTCTCTCTGTCTCTCTCTCTCTCACTGTCCACTCTGCCTGTCAAAAAAAAAAAAAAAAAAAATGTCTATGAGGAAATTTCCCAGAAAGTGTGGAGAGCATGAAAGAGCAATCCATGCAATGGAGTGACAGGAAGGATACACTTCTCCTTGGAGTTCCAAAAAGAGAGAACAAAGAAGTTTAGCAGATAGGGTGAGTGGAAGAAACTAAAAATAAATAAATAAATAAAATAAAAGGTGAGGGGAGTGCAGGTGTTTGATGCAGCAGTTAGAGACGCCACTTGAGATGTCTGCATCCCGTACTGGAGTGCCTGGGGTCCACTCTGTACAGCACTCCCAGTTCCAGCTCCCTGCTAATGTGCATTCTAGGAGCAGCTGGCAAAGCCTTAAGTACTTGAGTTCATGCCACCCAAGTGGGAAACCCCAACTGAGTTCTGGACACCTAGTTTTGGCCTGCCTCAGTCCTGGCTTTGCTAACATATGGGACATCTCTCTCTCTCTCTCTCTCTCTCTCTCTCTCTCTCTTCCTCTCCTCCCCCCCCTTTTCATATAAAAAGGAAATAAATAAAAATTAAGAAAAAGGCAAAGTTGAACTAAAACTCTAAACAGCAAAACTTAGAAAAGGGGAAGATAAGGTTAGAACTTTAAGAGGTAGATAATAAGTATGATTAATTTTAGTGTTAATTTAGTTTAACTACACATCTTAAAACTCAAGGGTATGAACTCTCAAAGTAATAAAACAAACTACCCAATAAAAATGGGCAAAAGATTTAAATAGTACTTCACCAAAGAACCGTTGGTAAATCACTAGTCATTAGAGTAACATAAACGTAAATCACAATGAGGCACTACTGTGCACCTGTAAGAAGGGCTAAAATCATAATGATCAAAGCAAGTGTTGGCAAAGATGTAGAGTAACTAAAACTCTCAAACATTGCTGTTAGGAATGTCAATGGTATAAACACTTTGGAAAATGGTTTGACTACTTCCTAAAAGTGAACCATACTACACAATCCAGTCATTCTACTCCTAAATATTCGTTCAAGAGAGAAATAAAGCACTGTTCATATATAGACTTGCAAACAAATGTTATAGAAGCTTTACCTGTACTAGCCTCAAACTCATTCAATGGTTAAGCTGATGAAACAAGCTATTATATTTCCATTAATGAAATACCAATATAGTTTTAAATGATGAAAATACATGTATGTGAATACATGTGTGCATGTGTTGTGGGAGGTGGGAGTTATCTCTGTTGTTTAAAAGTTACTTATAGTTCTGATGTCTACACCTACTGCCTAGAATGTGGTTTCTCTGTATCATTCTCTACTAAAAACCTTTTTGTTTAAAAGGCTGATTCTAGGTCTGGGGCTGGAAACTCCTAAGATAAATCAGAACATTTTGTGTTTGAGAGTAAGGAGATGCTCTCAGACTAGTGGAGAAATGTCAAAAAGTGATAAATGTTGGCTTGCTGCCTTTGCCACTGGCCAAATTCTGAGAAATTTGATATCAA